CCACCAGAGTTATAGAGAATTTGAATGCGTATGTGGCCTGTACAATGACTTGCGGTAGCCAGCCGATATACAAGTCAGTGCTTTTATCCTCCCAGACGAGTCTGGTACCAATTCACCGACCCCGGAGGGATGGAAGGCTTGGTTGGCCTCGATCCAGGATTCGAACCCCTGACCGTGCGTTTGATATTGTGCGCCACATGCCACTACACTAATAACAAATTTAAAATCTCCTACAGGAATACTCGATCCAGTAGTTGCGGTAAAGCGCAAGTACTGTATGAGTGGAACTTTCGCCTAAAACTCCTTGCGCTACACAGCGATTTTTAATTGTAACATTCCCTATCACATGAAAAAAACTCAATGTTAACATGTCATTATTATAATTACTTCCAAGATTGTGCAAGGTTCCGAAACTAATAATTTCTAGAGAAATGTTCACAAAGGTGCCTGAGCTCTGCAATTCACTCAAAGAGGGTTTTCTATGAGAAAACCTTCGCGCTTCCATGATTCAGTCGTTATCCAATTATTCAGCTCTATAAAAACAGCATTATATCAGTTCTTTCTAATCTCAATGAAACCTTTCAGATTTGTTGCTCCGATTATCGTGTTTCTCATTAGCAGAACTTGCTACACTACCGTATGCCTGGACAAAACCAGAGGAGAACGAGCTGCCACCTTGAAGGTAAGCCTACTCGCTGGCTTTGGGCCGACTTATCCTGTCCTCCCTCATAATGGTTTCGAAAGTAGGTATCACGCTGATCAGGAATCGGTACTCTTATCTTGCCACATTGGTTCCGTAAGAGCTTAACGACCCCGGAGGGAGCCCAATAATCTAGGTGTTGCCTCCGAAACCAATTAATGTCAGTATAGAAGGTCATATCACATAAACCGTGTAATGCTAATAAAGACCGGACAATTTCTTAAACCTCTTGGATCTAATGGTTCTTCACCAGCATAGTAGGACTCCCAGAGCTCATTAACACTTTCACTAACCGTGAAAATGTTTTTGACCTCCACTTGGGAGCTTCCGGTCAAAGGACAATTGCTTGCTTCTCTTTTGAAATATTTACTGGATACAATTCTGGAGGAATTGGTTTATACTTCACGGGACATCCAAGTGTAGGCTACAGTAGATTTTCTAGACAAAAAGGACAATTTTTGCTACGATTTTTGCCAGTCTCGTGCTTAGAACAGCCCACAATCTGACAGCTTTCTGACAATTCGAAGCACACTACAATGCGATTTGATTTTGCACTCAAGTGCGCCCTTTTGGAGGTACACGAACCTTTTCCTATAAAAACAAATAATGGGAAATCGAGGCTCATGAACTTGTAAGCTAATGTTCAAGGACAAGGGAAAATCCCAGAAAAAAAACTGACAAGTAGATTTTATGGTGCTTTTCGTAATCAGTTTAGAAATTTCGAAGGAATTTCGACATCTTACCTGACGTAAAGGAATATTCATACCTATTTACAGAGGCCTAATCTACAATAGCAGGATAAGAGTAATCAGGCTCGGTAATGGAGCCATTTCCCCCACTCCTACTGCATACATCCTGTTATTGTGGATTAAGCGCTAAGTGGCTCACCTTCACAAATCCAATTACCATGGAAATAACCTGCAGAGGGAACCAGTAGAGTAACTGTTAGACTGATTAAAGTCAGTGAATTGAGGAGGCGAAGCCAAGAATTTTCACTTACCCTAGTAGGTTCAAGGTTGTAGTAGCTGTCCGTGTCAATTGAATTTGTGGGAAGAATCAACTCAAAAACCAAACTGGCTACATTCATGAGATTTTCGGATTAAATAGGGCCTTCTACTATTCATAATTATTACTAATTCCAGTATGCGGCCCTTCAAGTGCTATTTGCCCTCGGTTGCGTGATGATACTTCTTTGGCCAGTTTTTGCGTATTCTCAGGTGGGTGGACTTTTTCGAAGGACGTCTTCAGTAGCCAAAGAGGCTGCCGTATTAAAATATTCAATATCTTTTCAGGTATTCACCTTTTACCTAAACCCGAATAATGCTACAAACGAGGTGACGGTGATACGTAAATGCGGTTTCCTTCCTCCACCAGGTTAGCCCCTTCGAAAGACATTTATTCTAGCGAAATCAAAAGAGGATTAGGTGGTTTTGAGTCGAACTTACAATGGATTTGATCGGTTGAGCGTCATCCTCTTTACACACATCAGATATCCTTTGCTGATCCCTGGCCCTAGAGCTTGAAATCTTCGAAAGTCAAGTTCTGCGTTCGTGCTGCCCCAGTGCACAACTCCCCTATGCAGATTACCGGTTTTACGCAATGGTTTTGATCGTGGATCGATCTTGAGGAACGGAATTCTAAAGATTTAGATCCGATTCTGAGCAAAAATCACCCTGGAACCTACCAAGAATACATTTCAAAGCCTGATACCCTGCACAACAATTCCCGACATGCAGGATATTAGGATCCTTCTCCAAAACCTTCTCAAAAAAAGCTTGGAAGCTCAACTCGAATGCAATGAAAACAAAACATGTTACTCTGCAGACTTCCAATTATGTTTATTCCAGAAATTCAATTCTGGTTTAATCTGGTCGCCTGTATCACCTCGTATGCAGTGCCTCTATTCGGTATCGTGTATTGGTATGTATCGGTGCCGTTCTTCTTAAAAAGAAGAGCCATCACTACGCTTGTCGCATCCAGGTATGTCCTTTTTTCCGAAGAAAGAATTTCCAAAGAAAGAATTGCAAAGTGGACGAGTTATGGGGGCAAAACTTCCATCAAGTGAGACATGAGTTCGTACTTATGCTTATAGGCTGTTACTTTGGTTTTCGACTAGGCCCATGCTCTTCAAAGAACAGCGACTTTTATTTGGCTCAATATCTTTCACTGATAGCATCACTATGGATACAGTTTACATGATTACAGCTCTATGGATGTGGCCTTACGAAAGGTGATCACTACGGTGCTTCTGTTGACAGCCATCTATGTTCTCTGTTGGTCTCCATACTGGGTGTCAATGTTTGCCCACAATATTTTCTCGATGGAAAAGAGAAGCAGTAAGTTATTTGTTGATGTTGTGATAAGGTTAATCCTTAGGGCAAAGTGTAGAGGTCATGGCTCAAACTGCCCGTGTCTTGTTCGTGGGCCCCACAACTTGAAGAAAAATTTTATTCGCTAAAATTTCTTGGGCAATTTGATATCACAGAAAGTCTCTCCCTCCCCCGGGGAAGATAATGGGAACACATCTCTTGTGTGGCTTAGAGCCCACTTGAGCCCATGCTATCAAAGCAAATGACTGATTTTACGGTAGAGGTGGTGTCAGCAGTGAATTATCGTTTTTTATTACAGTGATAATCGTCTCCTACTTCATCCATCTACTGCCATACGTTAGCTGTGTCGCTTATCCACTGATTTTCACTTTACTCAACAGAGGTACGTCGTTAGCCCCTACTGATTATTCGCTGGGAAATGAGGATTATAATTGCCTAAAAGATAATTTTTAGGAATTCGATCAGCGCATGCCAAAATTGTTCAAGAACAACGACGACGTTTCCGTAGCATCACGGACGAAGCGAGCTGTCATGTTCGTAACGCTTTACGGTATGTTGAGTAGCTTGAATTAGTGTTAATATTCAATTCTAAAATACCCCTGAAGGCGGAGGTGCTATGTGGCAAATGGGCACTATTTTACACATACGGTCACGGGTACGAATCCCTTCCATAACTGGTATCAGACTCGTCCAGGAGTGTAAGAGCACTGATTTGTACATCAGTTGGCATCCACAACTCATTGTATAGGCTAGGTACGCATTAAATACGCCACTACAATTCTTGATAGGAGTCGAAGGCGAGGACGGGTTCTTCAGACTGGAATGATTAGCACCCAAAACTTTAGTGGCAAGTATTAGTGAGCAATTGAACCGCCATCACTACGTCAATAGTTTAAAAAAATCTATCGATCAAGCTAGTAGATTACGATGGCTATTATGTATATCGAACCATAAACTGACGTCAGCATTTTTATGCCGAAGGTGTCCCTGGAATATCCCTAGCTCGTGACTGGCAATGCCTACGATATGGTTTTTCTCGGAAATATTTCGTGCCACCCCTGATTCCGGCTTAAAATTATTTTTAGCAGCTTACCATCAAAAGCTTCATCAACCCTTCGATCCCACGTGTCATTATCCGTTTATGAGGAGCATAGAAAAATGGAAACTACAGACAATAGTCCTTCCGATGTGATTCAGGTCAGTCACTTCTACATCAGCGTTTTCCTTCTCATTTTCCAATTTCCCTACCACTAATAGGAGAACCCGCTCCCATCCTTGGGTTCCAACAAGTACTAGGACGAAACGAAAAAAGGTGTTGTGCTGATTTCCATGATGCCTGCTTATTTTTGTATCAACATAATAGGGAATAGGCAGAAGCCAAAAAATGACCACAAAACAAAGCTTTTTAAAAATTTCTGGCATTTATTCCTGAAGTAATTATGCTGTTGCTTAGGCGCAGAAAATAAAAGTCCATCGATAAAAGGACGGCCTTAATTTATGCGTTTATGTATGGGATGCAATGCCAGCAGTGCCGACTCCCAATGATTCTGTTGCTTTCCCATCAGTTGCATTTTGAGACTTGCATACCGCTCGTCCCCAAATAAAAGCAGAAAATGAAATGAAAATGATCTGAGCATAAAGTTGAGAGTGAAAAGAATGAGAGGAAGAGCTTCAGGTGGCTACATGATCAGGGGAGCATTTAGATATGAGTCAGGCACCGATCCCGAGGCCCAAAAAGAAAGCACTTGATGGCTTACCCGAAAACACTGACTTGTAGTGTCTCTCTTTTATTTGGGTATCCTGTGTCCCGATGAGATGGAGGGGAAAGAGGAGAGCTGGTATGAAAATAATCGTGACTCGTTGGATAGTTGAAGATCTCTTGAAAATTCTTACAATAGTGTGATCAAAAGGTCATCTGCATGGGGACTTAGGTACCTCTCCATACTATGCTTGATTTCAATAAAATTGACGATGGAACAGTTAGAAAAACTGGTTTCTTTTACAGCGATCACCTCAACCTTGTGAAAGCCCTGAAAGGAGTCGAGTGGATTCGACCGTGAACTTCAAAGAATCCATTTCATCAATGGAAAACAACGATTCTGAGACGCTGTTATAGTTCTACTAAGTGCAGTTGCGAAGAACATTTTTTTTTCAGGGGTAACAAAAAATTGAGTTGTTGAAACTTCGTTCTTCTGTAAGCCATTCTCCCAGAATCTCCGTTTCTGCATTTTCTGCTTTTTTCATTTTTTCGAACAGCTAAGAATCTCATCTCTTGTAACCGTAGCTACACGATAACGCCTAATGTATGCTTGGATATAGTAGTGTTGTACAGTTCGGGTGTATATGAGCACTGTTTGTTAATCAAATTTGCATTGCTGTGTTCTTTTGTGACGGGTGGCATTATATGCGTACGAAAAATGAATTTTTCTTGAACATACTGAGTACGGTAGCTGATGTTATCAATTATTATCAACTTCTACTAAATTTCAGGTGATTTCGATGACTCTATACTCTCTGACATACCACTTATTTGTTACTCTGCATAGAGTCCCTCAGTGCTACAAGCAACGCGATACATCGAACTCATCCATCACTGCCTTTTGCTACCTGGACCTGCATCCGCATAGGCCGAGTGTGGTGCAGTAGGATCGAAACTGTCGCGTGGCGGCGAGAGGGACGCTGCTCACGAAGAAATGTAGCAGGGTGCAGCAGCACGTACGAAATAGAGGAACAAAAGAACTAATAGTAGATTATGAGCATAATATAATAGTAATTGCATATCGATTATCTTGTATGAAGAACGCTACAGCTGTGATGCCGGCGAAGCGAATGGTCCCCGACAGGCGCGTGCGGCGAACCGATCACACAAGACCGATCCTACTGCTCGTCTTCCTCATGGCCAACAAGCCATCCATTTCTCCAGTGTACCAGCGTAAGCCACTGTATAGGCCACATAAGCATTCAATTCACCAATACGATTTTGAATGGTTGACGAATGCGGGGTGCATTCCTTAGACAGGATCGATGACGGGATGCTCGAAGCCTTCGTTTTTTTCATCCACGAAATACCTAACACCCTCGAAAATCAGGTTTTTGCTACTGTAAATAGTTCTTAGTCTTGAATTAGGTTCCTAGGCAGCTAGGCCCTCCACTACAACCATCTCACAAGTGATTTAGGCCCATAATTATGAAAGCTTTCTTGCCATTATTCCAGTAATACGTCAACAACGAGAATACGAGTTGTACGAGAATATCAACCACAAATTGATCCAAATAAACTAAAATAAAAAACAAAATGGAGCGATAGCGGCACTGCAAGCTGCCATTTTTCATTCAATCAGTGACGCTTCCTGTGATGAAGTGCCCTAAAAAAAATAGCTCCCAAACCCTCTAGAATTTCTATAAACCACAATTTCTGAAGAGGCAAACGCTCTTCGCAGCGTGGAGTTCATCTGAGATATGCTGGATTCGAATCTCATCCATAGAAATTGGTTCTCGTAAAATTCGGCTAAACCCCCGCATGACAGGCTTGGAAAATTCATGTTGTAGAATCTTTATGCTATTCATATTCTGATATTAGAATAAAATGGGCTTTGTAAAGTCTCGAAAAATAATGCTGCTTNACTTTGATAGCTTTCTTGCCATTATTCCAGTAATACGTCAACAACGAGAATACGAGTGGCACGAGAATATCAGCCATAAATGATCCAAATAAATTGAAACAAAAAACAAAATGGAGCGATGGCAGCACTGCAAGTTGCCATTTTTCATTCAATTAGTTACGCTTCCTGTGATGAATTGCCCTGGAAAAAATAGCTCCAAATCCTCTCGAATTTCTATAAACCACAATTTCTAAAGAGGCAAACGCTCTTCGCAGCGTGGAGTTCATCTGAGATATGCTTGATTCGGATCTCATCCATAGAAATGGTTCTCGTGAAATTCGGCTAAACCCTCGCATGACAGGCTTGAAGAGTTCATGGTGCAAAATCTTTATACTATCCATACTCTGATATTAGAATAAAATGGGCTTTGTAAAGTCTCGAAAAATAATGCTGCTTCTCTGCATCAGCGGCAGCTCCGCTTAGCTCCACATAAAGCCAAGTGTATGACGATTGGCAAAAAACCCTAGATTTTCTCTAGTCCCTATACAGTTGAAGAAGTTACAATCATTGCTGTCACTTCTGTGAGGGACCTAGGTTTTCATTATACAGACAAACTTGACTTTTCTAAACATATCAGAGCTCGGTGTACCTCGGCCTTATTGCGTACACTGCACATCTTCAAAGGGTTGTCCTTCACGAATGAGTCCATACTTCTCAACGCTTATAAAACGTACGTTCGACCTTTGGTTGAGAGTGGTGCTGCTCTGTTCAACCCTTCTGGAAAAAGGGATGTTGAAGCAAAGCACTTGAGAAGGGACAAAACAATTTTACGCGTAAAATCCTTCGCCGATGCAGGAGTTTCTTCTATTCTAGGATTCCTAAAGCATTTATTCGCAATAAATACTTTGAACTCCGTACTCTGGAATCACGGCGCAAGGTATTCGACGTATGTATGGTTTACAAGCTACTGTACCGAAGTAATATTTGGTTCTTTTGATCTTTATACTACGGCTCAAACTCGAACCAGAGGCGGTCAGACTATAATAAATCTTCTTAGACCCAGAACCATTGTAAGAGCCAAAAGTTCACATTTAGAGCGGCTAGCCTCTAAAAAAAGGTAACAAAAAACATGAACACTCCGGGTTCCTTGTCTGAGTTCAAACGCACTGTGGCAGTAACTTTATCTAAGAATGAGCTTTCATAGTTCCTTGCGGTTGATCACTTATTCTTCCTCTACGCCTTTGTTTTATATCTAACCTTGAAGTTGCATTATTACTTTATTTTACGTGTTTCTCTATTTACGATTACATGTGTTCCTTGTATTTATTCCGTTATTTGCGTTGGTTCCAGAAGGTGATATCCTTTCATACTACGTGTGCCTTAGCAGCGTAATAAACATAACATAACATAACACAACATAACATATTCGAGTACGTTAGAGCAGAAAAAAGCAAACAAATATCAGTTGCTTCCGCTGATAATCTCGTTACAATGTTAGTCGGTTGCACTAGGAGCTGTGCAGGATTGAGCGGAGACGGTAAGGAATAACATTCATTGAAGGTCTGCATCATTTTCTGCCCAATGCTAGACCGCAGAAAAACTTATTCTTTTCACAGAATCTCGAGTACCATGCTGATCCAATTCCGTATATAGTAAAAATCTGCAAAAAGAAAAAGTAGAATTCTGGCAATCATAACAAATAGCCAAAAAAGCCAAAACGAACCATGAAAATAGCGAACCAGTAGGTATTCCTCATTTTCTTCTTAGGGATCTGAAATCATAGGTTTGAAGAAAGTTATCAAGAAATGAACGTGACGAGTGCACTCTTCACTGAGAATGTGGAATGTGGTATTTGAAAATGAAGCTTGAGAAGCCGACGTTTCTGATCAACTTCACTAAAGGAGTCTTCTCAAAGGCCACTGTGTATAGGCATTTTTTTGTATTGGTATTAGCTTGCCCAA